ATCTATATCTATAAACGAATTAGCTTTCACGTTGATTAATTGCAAACTTGTCGAGATTTTTTCCATATATAGAATACATATACACACATATATATATATATATCTGCTTCGTATCATTATCTCTCTTACTATAGATGTGTGTAATGGTATTCTATCTACATTCTATCTGCAAAAGTTGCAATATTACACTCGTTTATCGCTGAGTTGTAATCAACGTATCCTTGATCATGGCAATTAGCTCCGGAACTTATCGCAGCCACAGTTAATTATTTCGATAAGTCGACACATGTTCCGTCTATTCGCGTGAATTTTTTCAATTCTAGACACGTGTTCAAATCAACATAAATACAATGATTAATAAACGTGCCATCTACACAAATTCTTTATCAAAAATTTCTATCAGACAAAAACGCGCGAACAATAATTATCAAAAAGTTTTTTCACTTCCTTCTCAATGTGTGAAACGGTTATTTAATAAATCATATATAAAAACACCACAAGAATCAACAAAGTTCAATCTGTCAGCACAAAAATAATCGTTTGATTTTGCAGTTCTGACAACTATCAGTCTCACTTCTTACTACCACTTTTGGATAAATCCGCCGGCTAATTGTGGTTAGGTTTATAATTGTGATTCTCTTATCAAATAGCTCCAGATTGTGCCAAACTTTTGTATAGAAATTTCTTTTAATAATTAAATTTATAATAATTATACACGATCACCATCCCAACAGTAAATGACAGCGTAAAAGTCATTTACGAGGTGCTGTTAAGTCGAAATTCTGAAATAGATCACGTATCGATATATGTTACATATAAAACGAACCAAGAGGTTCGAAAAAAAAAAAAAAATAACTTACGAAAAAGTATTTATATTTGCTGAACGTTATTCGCGAGTCCGTTCGCGTCGCCGTTTAAAAGCGATGGGAAGCGACGAGCACAAAAAAAAAAAAAAAATTAGAATTCGTTCGACGAGCTCGTCGCCTTTTATAGACAACGGAAGGCTTTAATTTTGCCGACAGCCGACTCATCTTGGATTCTCATCGTAGATTGATTTGCCGATCACCGCGAGTGGCTCGGATATGACGCAAAAGAGGAGACACGGTACGATGTCTTTAACTTAAAGTTATTAGTGAAGCTCGCTTCTAGGAGGCGTTCACGATACGAAGCTTCATGTTGATCGTTATATTTTTCCAACATAAAACACATATTGAACCGTCAATGTAAGTTCAACGATCATAAACTACAATGATTAGAACAAATTTGGATTATGATCCTATCATTATCGTCGTCATGATCCCGTTTTATGTCTTCAACATATTTTACAATTGATAATATACATATATATATATATATTTATATATAACAAATGTTTTCTTATCGAATATAAAAATTGAGGTATGCGAAACAAGAGAATTTTTTTGATGGAAGTTAAATTCAACAAGTTTCAACGATCGTAAGCTACAACGATTAGATCATAATTTAGATTTATATAACCAATTATCTTGTTGCATTTTGAAGATATTTACAATTGACGAAATATAACAATAACATTCTTATTACGTGCCTCATCATTTTCTCCCATCGTACGTCGCAAAGCATATAGAATTTCGTCAAAATTTAGAATCGAATCACGTAAATCCGGCGCATTGTAGACACTCGACGGCGATATGCAAAACATTTCGTATTGATCAACGAACAAACCGTGCCAGAAGAAGGATGCTTTCCCCAGAAGTTCGCGTTTGCGGAAACTCGCGAGGCGAGGAGACGCGGCGCGAAATAGGTTCGTCGCGGTGCGATCAGCAGCCTCTCGAGTCGCGAGGCGTCCAGGAAGGAGAAGGGGCAGAGGGAGGAAGGGGGGGGGAGGCGCTCTAAGGGGGGACAGCGGTGGTAGTAGAGCGATAGGCGATAGAGGCACTCCGGCTGCGCCGGCGGCTGGATCTCCTTAGCATTAACATGCGATATACCTGAAAAACCAGTTTGCGAGGCTTTTTATTAGGCCTTTACTTTCGCTCGCGAACTGAAAGTAAGAGTGAGCGAGCGAGGCAAACGAGGCCTGTTAGCGAGCGAACTAACTTAACGGGGTCACCAGTCGATACGGATACGCACGTAAACGGACACACACACACACACACACACACACACACACACACACAACACACACACACACACACACAACACACCTCGCGAAAGAGGGAAGGAGTGAACGAGGGGAGGGGTGGGGGAGATACGATGAAGAGACGGAAGAGGAGAAAAAGATGGAGAAGCGTAACGTAAGAGTACATACATGCGTGCACGTATATAAGTATATAATGCGTATATATACATATATATATTTTATATCCACGTACACGCATATAAGGATGAACCCTGGTCGGCCACGTTTGTCAGGTGGGTAGGGCGGGGGGAGGGGGGGTTGCCTCCGCGTATGTATAACACGCATATACACGCGCGGATGCAAACGCTCCGTCGACAGCACTCCCGCTCACGGTATATATTAAATATTTACGACATCTAATGAAGAAAGTTGCGCAAGCCGCCGTCGTCGTTACGAGAGACACCGGAGCTGGTTATACCGATCGGCTGATCCGTCATGTTAACGCGCTCGCGACATCCCTTGCTTCGGTGAGGGATTCGCGTGTCACGGCCTTCCTCACCCTTTTCTTTTTTTTTTTTTTCTTGTCCTACACGAGGTCGTATTCTTTTCAATGTGTATACAGACGGGGAATGGCTCCACGCGAAACCTTCCTACGCTTCCGTCTATCTCGCTCCCTCGTTTCTCCGTCCCGTCTTTCCCCCGCGTGTCGTCATCCCCCTTTTTCCGCTTCCCTTAACACGCGCGCGCCGCGATTTCAGGCTGCAAGAACATGGAAATTGAAATTACTCCCTTGTATACGGCGTGTCGCTGATAACCGCGGTTTCTCCTAACGATGTACAATGTATGAGTAACGTAAAAAAATTAAAAAAAAGATTCCAAAAAAAAAAAAATGTGATAAATGCAGCGGTTTTTTAAATGGGAGAGAATCGAAGCAAATCACTTGGCGCGTATCGAAAAATAGCGACGCGAATTTCACACACGAGCTACGCATACGATATGCGATTGTCGGAACAATGGCACGATGATAGCGTATCCTAAAACGTATCAAAACGGTACGTTGACAATACACGGGATTACACTCTTCACCTCTGGATTGCTTTCAAATGTCGAAAACATTCTCAAATACTTTTCCAACTCCAAATATCCACCTTTAACGTTTCCGCTGAACGTTTAGCGTTTCGAAGTTTTCTTTCGTTGCTGGTTGTATTACGTTTTAAAGACTTTTACAGAAAGACCGAATCGTCTTCCATTGAAAAAGCAATTGCAATTATACTTTTTTTTTTTCTTCCCCCTTGAAATGCCATTCCTTTCTATTCCTTTTTCACTCATATGGTATCTATCGTTAAAGAAAAGCACGGTCGGTCAGACACGTCCAGTGTATGTAGATATGTCTGTATGTGTGTATATGTGTGTATGTACGCTCGCCCGCGTTCTCGCAGAAATGAAAGAAAGAAACGTCTCGGAAGCGTTTCCCTTTCGACCCGCGCATTACTGCTCGTTCTCTCTCACTCCCTACCTATCTTTCTCCCTATTCCTCGCCGGTGCACCGGTTGTGCCACCGCTACATCATCTTCTCGACTTAAATCTTATCAAGTTATACACAATATCTAAATGAAATGTGTTCACAGCCACACATTAATTATTTATACATAGATTTATACATATATCTGTATAGTTAAATATAGTTATATTTATATATGTATTTTTTTTCTCCGTAACCAAACGCCACGCGCCCGCAACGCGTTTTTACTCCCTCACCAAACTACTTCCCTTTTCTTCCCTTCTTCCCCTGCGAGAGAAAAACAAAACGGAAAAGCAACGAAAGATCGAAACAGGGGGGACGCGCGTCTCTCTCGTAACCGAATTGGGATTTGCTGGATCTTGCGTTTGTTGATTCGTTTTTTTTTTCTTTTCTTTATCTACACACTTTCCTTCTTGTTTGTATGATGGTTCCGCCGTGACACCTCGCATCCTCCGGTTCTTCTTCCGCTCCTGTTATCTCTCCAAATACAGCGTCGTCGTCCAGAGTCTGCTGTGTGTAACCTCGGCGTTCGTTTTGTCGACGACTTTCGTGACGGGACGATACCGATATCAATTGTCCCAAAGATTCGCGCTTAGTCAATGAAAACGGCACTCGCTCTACTAATCTAAAACCATCTCTTGCCTGTGATTACATTAATTTTCCAACGCGTCGGAGAAACGTTTTCTTTTTCCACCTCCCAAAACCATCTATGAATGTCTTCCGATTGTTCTTCTTTTATTTTTGTTTTTAGGCACAACACATTGTTTCTGGAGAAGCTTAGTCTTTCGTTTTATCGCAACCGTAACCCGATACCAGCATTTGATTTTATCTTCGCTGCAGCGACCACCACCGAACGCTTATCAGTGCCTAAAAAGCGACATTCGCGATAATAGATTCGCGATGAGCAAATCGCTCCGCACGTTGTCTACCTCCTCCTCGTTGGACATCATATACCCGCCGCCCCGGGCACGCCATCTTTTCGATCCACGATCTTCGTTGTTCCCGCGTCCGCCGATCTGATTGTTCTCGGTGTTGAAGATGATTTTCTTCTTACACCATGCCGCATCTAAGCTTGCATCACCGTGACAAGTCCGCCGAACGTCAACTGAGGAGCTTGGATCCTTTGGTGTTGGACAGGGAATTATTGATGCCGTCTGCCTCGTCCTTCGCCGCAGCCTCGGGATCTTGGAAAGAAGCGTAAGCGCAACAAAAATCCCCGGGCTCCTCGAGAGGACAATAAAGGCCATAGGTACATAAATAATAGATCCCGCACTCGTACCTCTGGTACCAATGATCAGAGGTGCCGATTAATGATTGGTAAGAATCGTAATTAGATTCGTTGACGCCGCAACAATCGACGACGGCATTCGTCCTGATAGCATCGGCGGAACCGATGACGACAGCGGCGGCGGCGGCGGCGGCGGCGGCGGCGGCGGCGGTGGTGGTGGCGTCTACGGATACAGTATTATCTTCGATGCTGTTGCATCACGACGAGCATGCCATCCAGTTGCAGGTGCAAGTATAGCACGGCGCCGTGGGTATTACAGGCGCGTAGTAATAGCCGTTGGCGTAAACGTAAGTGGCAGGCGGACCCTGCGGCGCCTGCTGATGACTTGTCAGCCGCTGCTGCTGCTCCTGGCAGAGCACCTGGTAGGCAAGGTTTTGAATCAAGGCGAGCGTCTGCCGTCGTTCGTGGCCCATCAAACAGACGGTAGACTCCTCGACGACGCTGTGCAACAGCATCAGGTACTGGTACTTGAGAGCCTCCTCCTCGGGTCCGACGAAGTGATTCCACAAATAATTCTCGAGTTTCGAGCGCTGCTGCCCTATGTCCGGGAAGTCTATGAAGAATCTCGAGCACATGTACCGCTCGAGCGTCTTTATGTAATCCGGCTGAGATGGTTTGTACATTTTCACTAGCAGGTTACAGTATTTGAGCAGGCCGCCGCCGCGTATCTCTTCGGGATGCCTCGTCGAGATCAGCTTTTTGTGCAGATGGTACAGCGCCTCTTGGAAATCACCGTAGACGGACTCGCCCACGACGGTGGGGTAGAAGTTCTCGGCGATCGGCAGCTTGCTGCACTCGTAGAACAGCAGTAGGGAGTCGAGAACGATCTGGAAGGAGTCGACGGAAAACTCGAACTGTCGTCTCATCGAGTCGACGAACTTGAGCTCGACGTTCCGATGGCCCCGGGAGTTGCCGAGGGAGATCAGAGACCATCGGTCACCGTCGTTGTTCACCTTCACCATTTTACTCACGTACGCTTCTTTTAGGCTGCACGTGGTGATGCGTTTGCGACTCACGCCCTCCGGCAACAGGTCGAACAGAGAGCCGAGCACCGCGGCCTTGACCTTGTCGTAATTGCGGCCGCTGGACAGCTCAACCGCGAAGATAAGGTCTAGGTCGTTATAGGGCTGAGATTCGGTGGCCAGCACGTGGGACGCGGCGCCTCCGTTCAGTCGGATGTCGCGCACCCTCATGCCGGCGCCCCCGTTGCTCGGATCGGTCTCCAGCTTGCTGCGCACCACTGTCACGAGGTCACTCAACCGCACCTCCAACGTGGGGAAGTTGCCCCGGCCGTGGATGCTGACAACTTCGTTCATCACATCATTTAGACGGCGAACCTGCTCGAAGCTGAGCACCGCCAGCCTCTGTTGAGGATCCGTGCAATCGGAGGCATTGCTGTTATTGTTGTTGTTGTTATTCTGGGTAGTGTTGTTGTTGTTATTGTTCGTATTATTGTTGTTCGTCTCGTTGTTAAGATCTCCATTGCTCATGCCGTTGGTCTTACTGCCGTTTACCTGGCAGAGCGACTCCATCATAGCGACCCGACGCTGGCGTTCCTCGCCGATTTCCAAAGAGCCACACTGTAATAAACACAAAAGAAATTTTTTAGCAATAAAGTTCTTCTCGGGATAAAGTGAAATTATATTCATGAATGCTACGAATGCTATCTTTTCACAAAGATAACACAATTAAGAAAAGGTTTTCGTTGCAAAAAGTTTTAAATGTGATGTATAAAGATATTTATAAAATATAAAAAAATATAAATAATTTTTTGTTATTTTCAAATAAATAAATTATTCCTCAAATTAATTTTTGATGAAAAATTTATCATCATATATGCGCATCATAATTTTTAATTGCAGAGCTTTACAGCTTTTTCTCAACTGTTATATTAATTTTTGTGTGTACACAGAACTAATAAAATGCAATAAAATTCTTCGTATATGCTAAAAATCCGTCTGCTTTTAAAATTCGTATCGTGCCGGTAAACCTTGCAATTTTCATCTTATGATGTTGCAACTGACGATACAATGTCACGCTTTGACCCCCGCAAGATTAAAGGTCAGTAAAGGTAAAAAAACGCTTTAGCATCTCGCATGCATCGCGCAAATTTCCGACGAGTGCATCGTCGAGCGCGCCCTTCAGCGAATATCTATGTCACGGTACTCAAAGTATACGAGTGCACAGCGCGAGAAATGCCACGGGGTTACGTCCGGGTGCGCAGCGTACGCGAACCAGCGCGTAGTATTCATTCGCAGCCCTCGGCTGCTAACTTTCATACGTAGCTATGTTTGTGTTGTTTAAAAAAGCATAACGCATCAAAATTTCGTATTTCGAACTCAGAACAACTTTTTTTTTTAAATATAACATTAATAATTCTCGAATATATAATCAAATCAGGATAGAAATCGATTGATAAAAGTCAAATCTGATGTGCGGCACAAATTTTTATAAAATAAAATATACATTTAATTTTTTTTATTATTGCAATTTTAATGATTCGATATTCAATGTTTTCTAAAATCATCATTGTTGAAAAAATACAAGAGAAATAAAAGATTTAATGTAGCAAAAGACAGTTGAAAGATTGATCGTTTGATTAATCTGCACTCGATTTTTATTTTTAGCAAAATCATCAAGTCATTTTTTAAAGCCGTCACTCATCACGACTAATAATGATATCACACATTCATGGTGAATTATCCCGCTTATATTCCGCTGCGGGTTGAACAGACCTTCATGCGGCGCCAATTTGTCGCCAAACACCAGTTAATCGATTACTATCAAGTCTCCTTATATGTTCTAGATAATCGGTAACACGGTTTTTTGTTGAAAGTATTTATGTCACAAACCGGATTCATTAATACTAATAATTATTGATAGTAGCACAATTAAATCTCCATTTCATTCATATGCGAATTGTTTGACCCGTTCGAGATCAATTTTCCATAAGTATGCGGAAACATTGATAATTTTTCAAAAGTTCAGTATCTATCAGTAATTAAATGTCACAACAGTTGCGCGATAGTTATTTGTTTTTTATCACAAGTAGCCTTTCGTAATATGAAACTTAAATATGCGTTTCACACACAATATGTGGAAGATCAATGTCGAATTTTAATTAATTGCGAAAAAGGATGGCCTTTAATCAAAATTTTATTGCGGACAGTCTCCCGCAGCTGCTTGAAGATCACAGATGAAAGGAGCGGCAATAATCCTAGAACGTGTATGTATATATATATATATATATACACATATATATATATATATAT